ACGTATTTTGATTACAAATGGTTATATTTTTTTTTTGTAAAATACGTTAATACAACAACACTACACACTAACATTAGTAAAGAAAAGAAAATACCAGTAAAATCAGAGTTGAAATTTTTTTAAAGCCACAATTACAGACTTGAGAAAGGTGAACATAATTTACATACAGCGTTACTTAATCTATTCTTAACCCAAATAAAAATTGTGCACAGTATTTGCTAAATAATTAACAGTTAACATAGATAAAGTTTTAATTTTATTTAATTGTTAATCGAAAATAATTTAGTTTTGATATTTACAAATAATGTAAATATACAAGGGTTAATTTAAGACTATTACAACTATTTACAGCTAATTATATTTATATATATTGATATATAAGTTATTATTGCTGTTGTAAATAATAATTTACAACAGCAATAATAACTATATACAAAAACTTTTATGAGAGAGTATCTTCGTTATCATCAAAATCCTCTAAATCCGAGTCCAGCATTGACGCATTAACATCGACAAATTCAATGTTCTCTCTGTCTGCATCGTCACTAATGAGAAGAGGTTTCATATCATCAGTAATAGCTGTGTTTACAGATTTTCTCAGCACAGGTCTTATGTCGGACAAATAAGGAGACAATGGTCTCCTCATTGAAAACGTCTTCTTTTGTCGCTTTTCCACTAAATTTGCGCGAGTGATGTTCTCGGATTTTCTTTAAGTCTTTTTTCTGGCTTCCGATGTCTCTTCAGATAATTTGCCAATAGGCATAATATTGAAGTGTTCAATAACTTCAGCACCATGCAATAAAAGCTTGTGGACACTCGAAGGCATGTGGTACCAGCCGTAGAGCTCCACGTACATTTCTGCAGTGTGGCGTGCAAAAATTTTAAATGCCTCAACATTTATGGGCCCTCCACAGGCTATCCCACGCAAAAGTGTTTCAAATCTTTGGATCAAACTGGAATCCAAACCTGTGATAGCTGCAGTTTTGGCAGGATCACATAAAATTTTCTTGCTGTGTTTCCATCATTTGTGTTTCCGGAACCTGAAATAAAAAAGCAACAGCTTTTCAAATAAAATAACTTGTGTCATTTGAAAAAATAAGGTTTAAGAACAACGACTATTACTTTAACTCACCTTGCTTAACAATGTCTACTAGAAGGCCCATTTCTTCACGGAACTTCTGCTGTATAATTAGTTTTCTACCTTTCAATGAGTCTTTGCTGCTTGGATCTCTGACTTGCAATGTTTTGAAGTCCAGTCTATACGAAATATGGACACTCCATACTCCTGACCCAAGCATGAAGTGTAGATAAACCATATTGATATATTTCCATTGAGACAGGTTACCTGAAAAGAAAGTAAATTAATTAATAAAAAGATACAGTAGCAAGCTGCAATTATTTTATCAATCTATTCAAAACTCACTCTGAGATCTTCTCTAACATATTCATTTCCGAAGGTGTAGCTTTACAGATGTCACAAGTCTGCGTTGAAGTTTTTGATAGTTGCGAAGTGATTTTGCCATCTATCGTAGTCATAAGCATTGAGTGTTTAACTGTATGACTTCCCATAATAGACGGTTCCAGTGCTGTAATCGCAGCTTAAACCAAAGCCTGTTCTTCCGTAATATCAAATTATTTTCATTAACAAAAATGAAATAGAGTGGCCTGCAGAACATTGTGGAAGATCGCTTTGGATTCTCCCATATCTTTTCTTCGTCACATACTAAGCGTAGAGGCACAAAATAACACATAAAAATGCTGGAATCATCTTCACCAGTTATAGTTTGCTTGTACAAACTTTGCCCTGAAGCACCATCAAAGCCCCACTTGCATATCAGTGTTAGCTCTTTGCCATCCAGTGAAAATTCCAAACGTAGGAATTTACCAAGTCTAGCAACAGTTTTGTCCAAAATCGCTTGAAGCTTTACTTATACCCCTCTTTCTGTGATTTCTATGGCACCTTTTGGTGGGTAGCAGTCCTTCTTCTCCTCTAACATAGCTGTATATGAAGGATATAGTGGTATTCCTTCTTCTTTTGCACAAGCTCTTAATGTTGTATACTACCACTTAGAAAGTTTCAACGAGGTCATTAAACCTAAAGCTTCATCGGCGAATATATGGGTACAGTTTTCTTGGACTTCAATAAATCCTTTATCTTTGTAGCCTCTTCAGGATGCTCTGTGACTAATTTTATTATATCTGCTACATTCTTGTTTTCTGCACTTAAGCCAGTTGCATAAGTAAGGCTTTCAGTGCTGTGCTTTAGGAACTCGTCCACTCTTCTTCTCTTCTGTAGTAGGCTTAGCTAAGTAAACGCTTTTCTCTGACTCGCAACTGATGTTGATGTTCCAACACTGCATCTCTCCGGTTTGTATGATGTTGATGCACCCTCATTTATACCGAAATTAGAACTCTAACATGGTTGTTGCATTAGACTTTTTTTTTTTAATACGCAGGTAAAAAATCTATTTACAGACGACGGCGCCTTTAAGAGGCACACCGCCGAACGGACCTCACACCTGGCTCCCGCAAGTCTTACGAACCCCCCAGTGGCTGCCCACCGAGAAGCCCGCAACTCTTACGGGCGCTTTACGGTATAATATCCGCTAAAAAAGTCATGCGAATACCCTCTAAGCTGCTTAGCGCGAAGCCGCGGGATCCCCGTTTAGGGATTCTCCGCATCTCCGCACCTAGCAGCCTCCCGGCCAAGCCGGGGCTCCACGGCAGGGGTCTCCCGGGGTATCGCGGGGACCCCGCAGACGTGCGCGGGTAGGCCCGCGCGCGGGTAGGTCCGCGCGCGGGGGTGCATTACAGACCCTAAAGAATTTGTCATCTTTTCCTTCATGAACTCGGGCCATTTTATGACTTCTTGCAGTCATGTCTCATACTTCTTTATGAATGTGTGTCTCAGACGATTGCATGTGATCCATTTATTCCTCAAAGAACACACATAAGTCTGGCAGAATTGTTTCAATTCTTTGTTTTCATTCGCTGTCAAATCAACGGCATTCTCGAAAACTTCAAATAACACACTGGGCTGTGAGAAACAGCTATTGTTTGCTACAAACATGAAAATATCTAAATTGGTACCAAAACCTTCCATTATATTACGGGAAAAATCGAACTTAATAAGTATAGTAAGCGCGCACAAGTGCAGAAAGTGAAGTTAGCCAAATCACCCTATTTATATGTAACTACCCTCATTAAGCTTGTTGCCCCATTAATGATTATGTTATAAGTAGCTAATTAAAACTTAACAATAATGAGAGTAATTACCAAATGAGTTACTTAATTGAATAAAATTTAAAGTAAGATAACATAATAATCTTTTTTCTGTTATTATCATTATTAAAGGTCTTTAATAGGTCATTAACTAACGACAATATCAGTAATATAGTCGGTTACTTCGTTTAATTACGTTAAAGATTTGAAAAGTTATATACTGAAAATTCCAGATTTTCAAAGGTTGCTACATGTAAAGCGGCATCGAAAGGCACAAGTATTATATGTCATCTTGTTCGCCGTGTAAGGTGCAATAGCTCATATGAGTACCAGCCTTTCAGTTCTATTTAGTTTAAAAAAAATGCACTTTAAGTGATTTCTCCCATACAAAAAAAACTAAATATTTTTTTTCTCAGGCGTGGTACTACTCATACCCTTCATACTATAATATTAAATAGAGGGAGGTACACTAAATACAAAACTTTTTTTTTATTATTAATTTCAGACATTAAGTTTCTATGTGTATGGAGCTCGATTTTCAGACCACTGTGCGACGGCGCCTTTAAGAGGCACACAGCCGAACGGACCGCACACCTGGCTTCCGCAAGTCTTACGGACCTCCCAGTGGCTACACACCGAGGACCCCGCAACTCTTACGGGCGCTTTACAGTATAATAACCGCTAAAAAAGTCCTGCGAATACCTTCTACACTGCTTAGTGCGAAGCCGCGGGGTCCCCGTTAGGGATTCTACCACGGTGTATAAAAGTCCTATGGATCAGATATGTGAATCATTTTTGGGGTACGAACAATAAAGTCATAGGTCTAGAGGTCGACACACCTGAAGTTGCTTGATTTTGCCCGCATGCAAAATTATTACGTCACTTCCGGTTTTTATTTTAGTTGTAATTTTAATATATCAAATACATCAAGAAAATGTATGTCAACAAGCTCTATTTATTCGCTACCCTGAGTTGACCACCATTAAAAATAGTTATTTTTTAATTTATCTTAAGCCATTGAATACATGAATTTCAGGTAAAGATTATAAATATAAGAGGATAATTGGACCTAGCTTCTAAATTCAATAAAATCGTTGGCAAATAATTGGAAAATTCAATATATAGACAACCCAAACTGAGTTCGGATTTTGCTTCAATTTATAGTTCAATGCCTTGCGATTAATAGTTCAATGCCCTTCCGGCGAGTCTTTGTAAGTAGGTCTGGCGCTCGAGTACTTTTTTAATTTTATTTCGACCTATCCATATTCTTTTAAATAAATTTTTGTCTTACCCTTTATTATTGAATATGACACACTATTAAAGAAAATGAGCGCTAGGTATTTGATTAATGTGAGTGATAGATCAGGGAGGGCACTGCTGTCTATTATATGACCGTAAATGGAATACAAAATATGACGTTCACAAAGAGAGCGGCGTTAGTTAAAGTTTTCGCCACATTCCACATTCATAAAGATCCTCATCGCACTATATCTATCTATTCTATTGGTGTCTAGCGGCCGCCCGCGGCTTCGTCCGCGTTAACTTTTAGTTTTTTCATATTATTTTTAAATAAAAGTGCTACCTGCTTTGGCAGGTTTACTTTTATTGTAAAGTCCCGTCAAAATCGGCCGAGCCATTTCAGAGATTAGCCGAAACAAACAGACAGACAGGCAGAGAGACAAAAATTGTAAAAAAAAAATTGGTGATGTGCCGTGTATATATTCATATGCATGTAGTCCTCGTCGCACTATAACTATCTGATCTATTGGTGATTGTACCTGCGGCGCGCATCCACCGCTGGTGCGGCGAGGGCGCGGGCGGGGCGCGGCGAGGCGCCGCCACCGGGGCGCTGGCCTCTGCCTCGCGACCCTCCTCAGCCATCTGACAAACAAACTTTAATGTTAATTTCATAAGTCGATATATATTGAGATAAGATCTTTATTGTAATAAACCATACAAGACACACATCATCAGCCTATTAATGTGGAGGTGGATGGAATAGGGAGATTGGCCCATGACCCACCACGCGGGCCCAGTGCGCATTGGTGGGTGCTAACGACTGCAGATGCAGCCGGGAACAACGGCCTAACGTGCCTTCCGAAGCACGGAGGAACTCGTGATAGAAGATTTTTGGTCACCCATTCAATGACCGACCACTGCGAAAGTTGCTTAACTTCAACTATCGCAGCCGAACGCGCTAACCACCTGCGCCTTCGAGCTCCTCGACCCTTAACACAAACTATTATCTAATTTGAATAATTGAATTCGATCTATTTAATACGTCAAATGTGTACTCATGACACTCGCAAACTATTTGAATTCGATGTTGTGCTTGTGCTAAGGGTACTAAAGTCCACCTGTGACGTCACACTGACGTATCCAATCAAAACCAGTCTCAAGACTTTCCCTTGGATATTTCAAACGTTAGGGCGTTGGTCCAAGCTGTAGATACAGTCGTTCGCACCCACCAATCAACATGACTGTTGGCGACTGGCTGCGGCAACAAACCTTTTTTTTATATAACATGTTTATATTTTGTACTTCCTTTACTTTCCTATGTCACTATTTGACACTGTTATTGTTTGATATACTTTTGCTATCTTTACTACTACTGGCTTGTATAGTGTTTAACATATTATCGTGAACACGAATTATACTTATTTACAGTTACGTGTTTCTACATTATTTCCATTTAGCTAGTAACAGTCCACCTCTACACAACACTGACTGTACCTGCGCGTAGTTGCGGTCACTGCTTCATAATTGCCATACTATTTTAATTATTTATGTTATCAACATGATGGCTACCATGTACCTTGTTTTTAACTAGTACCCTATATTTCATAAGATGATGATGCAAGCGCCATGATCACACGTAACGTAACATGGTAATAATCCCGTTAATAACAAAATTACTATAGGTAGTGACCTTGGAAGTTGAAAACAGTATATACAATTTTAAATTGAACTTTACCCGCTAAATTGAAAATGCGAGGTAATATCTGCGTATTATATCTTAAGAGTGAGTTAGAATACGATTCACCACTACTTGATGAACTTACCTGGTGCGGTGAAGATGGCTCACTGCCTTGTGAGCTAACTGCAGTAGTTTCTTCCTCACCCCGTGACTCTTCCCAGTCTCTAGTTTCCCCACCTTCCGCTCCTGAATAAAAAAATTAAATTATGAAGCCAAATTATAAGTCGGTTAGGGAAAGAAAGAAAAAAAAATTTGCTCACTTTAGTACTATATTTACATACAAAATACAACATCAACTACAACAAAATGATGTTACAGTGGCAAGTCTCTAGCTCAGCACATGCCATGACGCTGGTTTTTAGCCAGAGTCCATATATTGTTTCATATACGCAGTATGTGTTGCTTCAGTCTAACGCGATCTGTTGTGCCTTTAGCACGAACCATTATCGAATTCGAATAGTTTGCGAGTGCGAAAAGACATTGCCAAATGTGTATTGATTTTTAGTTCTCGTTACGTCCGTTACAAGAACAGCAGCGCCATGCTGTTCATGTTTCCATACAAAAATATTGACCTTGAGATTTACCACTCGCAAACTATTCGAAGTCGATATTTGCTCGTGCTAAGGGTGTTAAGGGTGGGTGTGTACGTTATAGTAAGTAATGGTTAGCGTATCAATAAAATGTGATACCTACAACAGTAGTGAAAAATGTTTATATTAAAAAATATCATTTGCAACCGTATGGAGTAGTCTTTGTTACTTTTAAAAGGAAAGGGGGGGTTCAAAAATAAAAATCTGACTGCAATCCGTAATCCTAAATGTTTTATAAGTGTGTGGTGATAGGCGGTTCTTTATAGGGAGGGTAGTACTGACGGGAGTCGGTGACGGCGAGCGCGAGCCAGGTAAGGGTGGGTTTCGTGGTGGGAGGCGGGGGTACTATATAGGGAGGGCGGTACTGACAGGATTCAGTGATGGCGCGCGCGGGCGCGGGGCTATATCGCGGTGCGTGTCGTGGTGGGAGGCGGGGGTGCTATATAGGGAGGGCGGTACTGACAGGATTCAGTGATGGCGCGCGCGGGCGCGGGGCTATGTCGGGGTGCGTGTCGTCGTGGGAGACGGGGTGCTATATAGGGAGGGCGGTACTGACAGGATTCAGTGATGGCGCGCGCAGGCGCGGGGCTATGTCGGGGTGGGAGGCGGGGGTGCTATATAGAGAAGGCGGTACTGACACGATTCTGTGACGGCGCGCGCGGGCGCGGGGCTATGTCGGTGTGCGTGTCGTCGTGGGAGACGGGGGTGCTATATAGGGGGGGCGGTACTGACAGGATTCAGTGAAGGCGCGCGCGGGCGCGGGGCTATGTCGGGGTGGGAGGCGGGGGTGCTATATAGGGAGGGCGGTACTGACAGGATTCAGTGATGGCGCGCGCGGGCGCGGGGCTATGTCGGGGTGGGAGGCGGGGGTGCTATATAGGGAGGGCGGTACTGACAGGATTCAGTGATGGCGCGCGCGGGCGCGGGGCTATGTCGGGGTGGGAGGCGGGGGTGCTATATAGGGAGGGCGGTACTGACAGGATTCAGTGATGGCGCGCGCGTGCGCGGGGCTATGTCGGGGTGCGTGTCGTCGTGGGTGCTATATAGGGAGGGCGGTACTGACAGGATTCAGTGAAGGCGCGCGCGGGCGCGGGGCTATGTCGGGGTGGGTGGCGGGGGTGCTATATAGGGAGGGCGGTACTGACAGGATTCAGTGATGGCGCGCGCGTGCGCGGGGCTATGTCGGGTGCGTGTCGTTGTGGGTGCTATATAGGGAGGGCGGTACTGACAGGATTCAGTGAAGGCGCGCGCGGGCGCGGGGCTATGTCGGGGTGGGAGGCGGGGGTGCTATATAGGGAGGGCGGTACTGACAGGATTCAGTGATGGCGCGCGCGGGCGCGGGGCTATGTCGGGGTGGGAGGCGGGGGTGCTATATAGGGAGGGCGGTACTGACAGGATTCAGTGAAGGCGCGCGCGGGCGCGGGGCTATGTCGGGGTGGGTGGCGGGGGTGCTATATAGGGAGGGCGGTACTGACAGGATTCAGTGATGGCGCGCGCGTGCGCGGGGCTATGTCGGGTGCGTGTCGTTGTGGGTGCTATATAGGGAGGGCGGTACTGACAGGATTCAGTGAAGGCGCGCGCGGGCGCGGGGCTATGTCGGGGTGGGAGGCGGGGGTGCTATATAGGGAGGACGGTACTGACAGGATTCAGTAATGGCGCGCGCGTGCGCGGGGCTATGTCGGGAGGGCGGTACAGTACCCCTAGCACGAACCATTATAGAATTCGAATAGTTTGCAAACCGAAATGTCAATGTCAAAGGACATGGTAAAGTTTTGTATGAGCGACTGCCCTGACAATGTATAAATACTGTACTTAGTAATATTTAATGGTAAATGGCTGAATATTTATAATTTCTATGAAACAAGGCTCAGGAACTTTTGATAAAGTCACAATCTTAAAAATTATGAAAACTCCTACTATGTCATTACCTTACTTACAGTTGATAAAAGATGTTGCCAATTATTTACAGAGTCATCAATTTCGCATTTTCTTAGAATCTTTCTTCCCATTTCTCTGATTATCTCTTCACAAAAAGTTTTTTAAAGCAAAAAAAAAAATACAAATAATTTGTTATCGTCGGCCTGACAGAAAAACAGTGACGTTATATTTTGTCCGTTTTCAAAAATTAAAGGATTAATTATCATACAGCCTTGTCTCAAGCCTATCAGAATAATAGTGACTTGTTATAATAAAAATTAGGGCCAAATATGTTATAGTTTAAAGGAGTTTAGAAATAATATTGTTTATTTCGATATACTTACACAAATATTTTTTGTGTACATTTATTGTTCATTTATTTTTTAAAACAGAACATTTTGCTTTTGAAACAGACAGGAAGTCAATTTTTATACTTTTTAATATCTGATTATTTCACGAAAGTTCTATGTGAATAATAAACACGTAATAATTAATAAGAAAATATAGTAAAGTTACGGGCTAGTGCGAAATATTTATACACGTTAAGGACAGTTTCTTAGCCATGTCCTTTTGTATGAAAACTTGAACAGCAGCGGCCCAAAGTACGTAACGAGAACTAAAAATAAGCACACATTTGACAATGACATTTCGGACTCGCAAACGATACGAATTCGATATTGGTTCATGCTAGGGGTACTGACAGGATTCAGTGATGGCGGGCGCTGGGCTATGTCGGGATGCGTGTCGTGGTGGGAGGCGGGGGTGGTATGAGGGAGGACGGAACTGACAGAATTCAGTCATTGAGGAGGGCGGTACTGACAGGAGTTGGTGACGGCATGTTTTTTTAACTAGTTTTAAAATCGGAAATTGTCTCCACGTTAATTAACTTTTTAAGCAATTATGAAAGCTTAACAATTTAAACTGCCATAAGTTGATTCGAATAAATCTTTTTTTAGTAATTACATACTTAAAACGGATAAAAATTGCGTAACCGGTAGGTTATTTGCAAATTAACACCGTTTTAGGAAATTTTGTAAAAGGTCTAAATAAATATTTCTGCATGGTAATGGTATGTATACAGTTTACTGTTTATAAATGTTCGCACTATTTTTTTAACGGTATTTAAGATAAGATATTAAGTTTCTCATTTAACACAAAATTCATGGTGTATAGGGAGGGCGGTACTGACGGGAGTCGGTGACGGCGTGCGCAGGCGCGGGCGGCAGTGCGGCGGCCAGGTCAGGGTGCGTGTCGTGGTGGGAGGCGGCGCCCGGCGGAGCGCCCGCCTCAGCGAATGTGAAACGAGCGCCGGAACTTCCGCCCACCGGTGAAACCACTGCTTCCCCGAACCTGTACATGTCGAAAATTATCAGTACCCAACGAAACACGAACTTTGACAGATCCGTATTCGTATGGCCAACGTCAATGCTTTTAAAGGAAACTAAGGCTCGTATTACAGAATGACAACTAAGTGTTGATCTTTACTTGAGTCCAGTTAGAAGTCCAGGGATGTTCCCCTTTCTAACTGTACTCAAGTAAAGATCAACACTTAGTTGTCATTTTGTAATACGAGCCTAAGTAACAAACTACCGGACGTAAGAACAAACTAGCTTTTACCAAAGAAAATTTGACATAGCGAATACTTTCTCGCTATTTGCTTGCTTGGGGTACAATACTGTAAAAATAATTTTACACATATGTCAACATTAACGAGGATCGTTATCAGGTTTTTCAATAATCCAAAATACAATAAACGCCACAAAAAACTTAGTTTTATTGAAATAAAGAACTCGAATTCTGGCACTCCTAGAATCTGGCTTTACCATAAACATTCTATTTCGGTAAGAAAAGACTTTTTACTCATTAATCAGACAACGTATTATAGTAATATAAGTTGATTTTTGGACCTAAGTCATATGACTTATGGTAAATATATGTTTACGTAAAGTAAAATTTTTATAAAGATTTATTTCTCAAACATGCTTGGAATGTGAGCATTATTTTGATAACCTTCTTCGAAATAAATCTAAATTGTCAAAAGTTATATGAAACAAGGAACTGATATACTAACTGGAATGCTTACGAAACAATATGCAAATCAAAAAAAATACTCTAACTAGTTACACATAAAGTCCATTTTTGTTTCTACCTTCATAAGGGGGAAAATGCTACTAGCGCGACAACGACGAAAGTGGAATCTGTCCCTCTCTTGCAACTGTTTGGGCACACTATTAGAACGAGACAGATTCCACTAATTCAGCTATGCTCTTGGAACGATTTTGAGGGACGCGTAAGCATTCCAGTTAGTATATAAGTTCCTTGGTATGAAATACAGACATTACATATCTAACATGACAGATATTACATTATCTAATAAATAATGTAGTTTTATTGTATGTATTTTATTTCTTACTAGATTGTAATTACATTTCCGCGACTCTGGAGTATGGTAAAAACTCGATGAGTTTGTTACACAATACTTATGAACTTGCAATGTATCTGTTTGAACATAATATTAATAGATAGAAAATAACATAAATGATACAGTTAGCTAACTTATAGCGTTTTGATTTTACTGGATGGATCATTGTGTTGCTTGTCATTAAATGCCTGCCCTACACGTTGGCCAACATTGTGTCGAATGGATATTGCCATTACCTATGGCCATCGTGTAGAGCAGGAGTTTGTGTATATCTTGGTATGTATTGGAATGATGGCCCACAAGTTGGCGCAAGATCCGAATGGTGTCGGTTTTTATCAAAAGATCATAGGGTTATGGCGGAGTTATGGCCGTCGTGTTTTGTTTTATATAGGTTCGTTTTCCATTATATAGGGCACGGATTGAATTATTTGAGCACCTACGATCCTTCCGATTCAAACAAGTAAATGATAGATTGTAACGACGAATCGTACCGTATATAGGGCCCATAAGACTAAACAATTTAATAAAATATCATACCCGTCGTTCCTCCTCGGGACGTAGAGCGTAGGAGTGGAAGGGACTATACTGTCGTCGCCATCGTCCGCGCCATTGCCACCAATCGATAAAGCACCGCTCGCTGCAACAGTTAGTTTTTTTATTACAACTTGTATTGAATTTTATTTCAACGATCAATTAGTACATACAGTGGTGGTCATATAATAAGAAACAATTCTTATAAACAAAAAAAAGTATAACTTCAATGTACATATGTTCGTAAAAAATATACACATTCAATAAATTAATAATCATGCAACATTAAAGCCACTCGAAGATAATATGCCTGTAACCTGGATCTTTCAGCATGGCAATGACCCTAAACACACGGCCAATAGCGTCAAATGTTTTCTTAGTGAACAGTTTTCTTAGCGAGAGAAAATCTCTGGCAAATTGTCAAAAATAAAGTCTCAAACAAACGTAAGACCAGTCAAAACGAACTATATGAAGCATGGATCCTGACCATGGATCCCCCTAGAAAAATGTATGAAATTGATTGAATCAATGTCACCTCGTTACAGTGCTGTAATTGGAATTAAGGGATACGCCACTAAATATGAATTATAACTTTTTTTTGTTTACTAATACCTATTTTTTTTGTTTTTTTATATATTTTTTTGAAGTGAAACTTTTTTACGCATGCTGACTAGGGGGGTCAGCAGGCGAATGCGTTACGCGTTACGAAAAGTGTGTTCGGGCGAGGCGAACGGGAGTTGAGTAGGGGATATAAGCAAGAGAAAGCAGTGAGCGTGCACATATTCTTTCTCTTATGTAAATGAAATATGTATTTGTATATATAATAATAATAATAAATTTTTATTGGCTTGAACAATAATGTGATCTTAAACTAATGACCTGCATCTCCTTTTAAGCTTAAATAGCCTGTACATATATGTACGAGGCGTATCCAAAAAGTAAGTGTACTGAGGCTCTCAAGACCAAATGAATTTTATTTTCGACATGTTGGCTAGACTTACGTGTAGCATGACTCTTCCCCTCCGCAAAGAGACTAGTTCAAGGTCAGTACGTTGAGAAGTGTCGACGCGACAACACTTTTCGTGGAACTTGTCAATCCAATCACCCGCCAAGTGCGAACTACACGGCGTTATCCGTTATATCGGAAGGGAGAACCTCCTGTTGAGGTTTACCACCTACATTGAGAGGAATGGCGACTATGTCGAAAAATAGCTTACATATATACTACGGTAAACACGTAATTTTTTTGTATCAACAAAAAAATTTGTAGCCTAATTTTAAATCAGTAGACTTACTTTCTGGATATGCCTCGTATATATTGTACACACATATATCTAAGTATATATATGTACACAGTCAGGTCATAAGTATTGTCACACAGTAAAAACTTTTCTTTTAGAATGCTGGCCACAAAAAAGTTTATTGAATTCGAATTGTTCATGAAAATAAAAATGTATACTTTTAAGAATTTTACTCATTTTTAAATATGGAGTGGACGCTTAAAGAAGACCGTGTTGCAGTTTTTGCGTTGCATCGTTGAGGTAACGCGCCAATTCAAATTTTTGACATACTAAAAAAGGACAATGTTAAAATTGGCCTAAGAACCAACACCAATTTGGCATTTATGATAGTTCTTAGTATATTTTTTGTGATAATTATCAGTATTTAGATTGTGGCGGACACTTCCAGTTAAGTAAGCTAAATTAAAAAGTTACAAAATAACCTGAGACAATAAATACCATTTTATGTGTATAATCTATGGCAGCGCTGCAAACAAAACACTCTTTCTTCCTAATGCCGGCACTTCACTTGGCTATTCGTATTTGCTATTTTAAAACATGACATCAGTCTGTCCTTTTCATTCCTTATTAAGCATGACAAGGACAAACTGTTGTCAAGTGAAGTGCCGGCATAAAACTCGTTACTCTGTGGTTGTGGTGCATGCAGTTTGCATTTGTAGTAATCTGTGGCATTCGTGCATTCCAAAGAGTAATACATATAATATACCGGAAAGTACATTCTCGTTTCGGATTACCTGTTGTGTGTGTTTATTTGTGATTATTTTTCCATTTTTTTTAACTATTTCGGCTATCTAATATGCCATCGATGTTACCAAAGAGCAGAGCCCTTATTACCAAGTGCTAGTGAACCTGTGCCACAACATCCTGAGAGGATCATACTGCCAAATTATTCAAGAACACCTGATACACATTCACGCTGCATATTTACACAATATAGGTCAGAGGCGGCTCTATCGCTTGTGGCGCCAGTGTGCCACCAGTACCCTGGCGCCCCCTAGTAGGAGCGGGGTCAAAATGGAATACTTACAGTTATATTTTCATAAAAAAATCGGGTGAAAATTACCACAATAAAAAAAACCACAACTTTGTAGTTCTTTTAATTTAAAACTATAATATCTTACAAGACGCTCGTACACACAAACAAATGTTTTTAAAAAAAAAATACTAATCAATCTATTTAGCGACAATAAGATAAGATAATAACACAACAGTAACATAAATAACACGAATAAAATATAAATACAAGGCAAAACAATTACAGTAGCGACAATGTTGATCTTAGATAGTTTTTAATTATTTTTAGTTTAGAAAATGACCTTTCTCTGTGTGCTACCGTGACTGGAAGTGTGAGGTAAATCATCAGTGCTGTGGACAGATTTGGGAATACTGAAATCAATTTATTCGTATACAAGTAATTTAAAATATCCAACGGTGTAGTGGAATCATCAATAAAGATCGGTAATAATTCGATTTCATTAAAGAGCTCGAACTTTTCCACAGAGCCAGCTGAAGAGCCAGCTTGGCAAAGTTAATTTTCTAAATTAGAACAATGTGCTTTTTTTGTATTCGAGTCCAAATCCTTCCATTGTGTAACTTTTGAAGAAATGGAAAACTACATTATTTTGATTGAGAAGTTCGAACCGTTCGTCGAACTTAGTAATTGCGGTGTCTAATAAATAGTAGTGAAAATTCACTTTAAAATGTGTTTTGGCGTCTGTGATCGGTTCATACTCCGCTTCATAATTAAAAACCTTTTTACGAGCGCGAGGGCGTGCAGGTGTCGGAAATTCTGCTATTGCCATGACTTCTTCCGCTACAGTTTTCGCGCTGTTAAGCTTTTCAAAAACGGTGTCATTACGAAATTCAGACAAACTTATTTTTGCAATATCAATCATTTTCACCGCCTCTGACAATACAACGACTGTTTTTTGAAGTGCCTTGCTAACTATATTTATCTTGCTTAAAATTTCAAACCAAATAAGCAGAGAGCAGATGAATTTAAGCGACTTAATTTTTCCCAGTAATGAATTTTCCATATTTCTTGACTCCGCATCTTTGCTCCTATCGGAATATATGGTAAACAAGGCATCATACACTTTTCCCAGTTCAAAACATAGAGCTTCTACTGCTTCAACCCTGCTCTGCCATCGAGTATTTGAGAGTGGTTTTAAAGTTGGCACTTTTTTAGCAAGAATTTGTCACCGTGCTGTTGACGCAGAAAAAAAAAAACTAAATTTCTTGCAGAATTGAAAAGAAATTTACTATTTCTAATGAAATAGTAAATGTCCCGCCCGCTGCCTGGTCCGCGTGGATTTTTTTCTAGTAAACTTTTCTTAAGATTTAAACATCTAGCAGTTAAATGCTTAAAAAATAAATAAAATCATTTCTAATGAACTTTTAGGAGCGTCATTTACTATAAAATGTAGGCTATATGCCGCACATGGTACATAAAATGCGCGCGGGTTTATGTCTAAAATTCGTTATTGAAGACCTACATTTTTCCCTTTCATATTTGCACCATTATCGTAACCTTGACGACGCATATCTTATAAGTCAATTTCGTTTGAGATTAAACAATGTAACGAAAATTTAGTTAAACTCAGGCCAGTAGTGTCTGTAATAGGCAAAAAGTCCAAAAAGTGTTCTTTTACTTCAGCCTTGTTGTTGCTTGCATTTAAAAGGACATACCGTACGACAACTGATATTTGTTCTTCGTGTGCAACATCTGGAGTGCAATCTAAAATAATTGATAAATATTTGGATTGTTTCAATTCCAAAACAATATTTCTTTTTATTCTTTCTCCTAATAATTGCATTAGTTCATTCTGAATATTATGGCTAAGATAATGAGTTAGGCGTGAGTCAGATTTTTGAATAAGGGCAATGTGTTCCGCAAGCACATTATAAAAATTTGAGGTATATTCAACCAGCTTTAAAAAGTTATCATTATCAGAGTGGAATTTTTTTTCAGATCTTACCCGAAAGCAAGACATTGCGACCGATTCTGGCGTTTAATTCTCTAAACCTAAACTTAAAATTAGACAGCTTATTTTAGTTAAGGTTGAGAGAATTGGTATTCTGAAATTGCGAACTAACTAAATTATGAACACAGTTGACAGCTGTACACGAGCATCTAAATTGAATCCACAGATTATGTAAAAGCATTGAACCGGTAATTATCGGTTTACTCAAATTAGCAATAAATACTTATTTTTCAGTGATTTTTACTTATTTCAGAAATTCTTTGTTGTTCTTCATCATCTTTGAAATATGAAAACTTAACATATCGTCGTATTAGAGTGGAGGGCGCTCGGCGCCCGTGTGCACCGCACACCCTGCACTATAGGTAAAGCCGCCTCTGATATAGGTACATGTGATATACAAATAAATACAATAAACAATATGATACAATTATGTGAAAAATAGTCAATAAATAAGAAGCAAAACTACAGTTTTTATTTTATTCATGATTCCTACCTAACCAAGTTTTTCCTAATAGTTATTCTTTAAAATCGCACCGAATAAAATGAATTAGTTGTAATATTAATTCACTTCATTCTTAGTTCATACTAAATTCATAGGTTGACCTATGTTTCATTGAATATTAAACATAACCTCAAAAAAAATTTAATTTCCTAATAATTTAAGTTCTCAGAAGTGTCCGTCAATAATCTTTGTTTTTACAGTCATTTACTTACGATTTTGAATCTCGAAAATAATATTTCATGATTGTTGGTTCTTAGGCTAACTATGTATGGACGCTGAACAATGTCCTTTGAATATAACCAAAAGATTCGTTTATCGT